AATATATATATATATATATATATTAAGAAAGAAAGAAATGTAAATATAAAACTACATTTATATATATATATATTTATATATATAATTTATTCAATTATATTTTATTATAGAATTTCTAATAATAATACAATAAATAAATTATAAAATAAAATGTATTAATTTAAACAGTAAATAGATGTTTATTCAACAAGCACTTTAATGTCCCAGAGGAGAATTTCTATTAAAACTATCTTATGTGAACTCATGTTTTCTCTCCTGAAGGCGACTCCAAGTCAACTCATGCAACGAAACAACCAGCCGAACAAACTGGATTTCATCCAGGAACTGACCAAACAGCTGGAGGACTGTCGCAGGGTCAGTATGAACACACACAAGCTGTGCGTCAATGAACTTCTCGACTGGAAATTGTTGGGAAAGACTTTGAAATGTTTTGCTGACCTCAGTCCAGTTTTTGTGTAAAGACGCATGAGCGTTTATCAAATCAAGTAATGAGTAGAAATGCAGGTTAGCTTTAATATGTCTATTTATGTGCTGCAGAGGAACCAGTTTCTGGAAGCGGAGAGCATCGAGATGGAGAAGGAGAGGAACCAGATCCGCTTCGAGATGCGAGGTCTGCTGGTGAACAATGAAGATCTGCTGCGGACGAACACACAGATGCAGTGCGAGACGAACCGGCTGCGGGAGAAGATCGTGGAGTTAGAGAGCAACAACAACGTCATGCAGGAACGCTTCAGACAGATGGAGGTACAAGCACCACATGCAACACCCTAAACACACGCCGTCAGCAGAGCCGTGATCCTCATCATCAATGTGTGTGTCTCTGTCTGTGTGTGTGTGTGTGTCTGTGTGTGTGTCTGTGTGTGTGTCTGTGTGTCTGTGTCTGTGTCTGTGTCTGTGTCTGTGTCTGTGTCTGTGTCTGTGTCTGTGTCTGTGTGTCTGCAGAAAGAGCTGAAGGAGGCGCGGGAGGTGATGGTCGAGGCAAACACTCAGGAATACGCCTTCAGCTTCCTGCAGCAGACGCTCAAGAACAAAATACAGGACACTGAGGTGCAGCATCACAAATAAACAGGCTGCTTGACACTTTCAAAGACCAAAATTGCCATTTCTTTTATTATTTTATATTTTTTATTATTTAGTTTATTTTATTTATTTTGTTTATTATTTTATTATTATATTATATTATTTTTTATTATTATTTATTTTATAATTAGAATATTTTATATTTATTATTTTATTATTTTATTTTATACATTTACATTTTTTTATAAACCCCATAAAATCCTTTTTAGAAACATAACAGTAATGTCCTTTAATAAGCAAAATGTAAAATTAGGGGTAATAATAATCATGAAACAAATGGCCATTTGTTTTATTATTTATTTTATTATTATACTTTAAAAAAATATTTTATATCATTTTTATTCTGTTTTTGTGTTTTAGTAATACACTGCCATTTTTTTTATTAATTGTATATATCATATATTAGTGTTATATATTATAATATTATAATATATAATAAATATAAAATATTATAATGCCAATAAGCCCCACAAAATGCTACTTGATTTTGAAAAATATATCAGTAATCAATCATTCAGTCATTTAATAAAATGTAAAAGTATGAAACAAATGGCCATTTGTTTTTTAGATTTATGATTATTATTATTATTTTATGCAAAATTCTAAATTAGGGGCAATACTATCATGAAACAAATGAGAATTTGATTTATTATTTATTTTATATTATTATTATTGATGTATTATTTTTATTCTTTTTTCTTGCACTTCAGTAATTCACAGCACATTTTGTCATGCAAATAACCCCATAAAACGCTACATGCTTTTCAGAAATTTTAATAAGCAAAAATGTAAAATTAGGGCTAATAATAATATAATTTAAACAAGCAACATTTTACATCAGGAAACTGGTTATTGACAGCTGCTCATCTGGGCTTTATTCACTTGACTGTTGGTTTTCTCAAACTGTGCAGTCGGTCTGATCTTCTGTGTGTTTTCTTCAGGAAGCTCTGGAGAAACAAGCTCAACACGCTCAGACTGTGTCAGAAAAACTGTGGCTCACCGAGAGAAACCTGGAGGAGCTGGAGCTGGAGAAAGAAACTAAAGCAAAGAAAACTCTAGAACTCAGTAACACTGTTTTCAGACTGGAGACAGAGGTACAAACACACACACACACTCACAGACACAGACACTCAGACACACACATACACACACACACTCACAGACACAGACACACACACACACACTCAGACACTCACACACACTCACACTCAGACACACACACACACACACTCACAGACACACACACACTCACACTCACACTCAGACACACGCACACACACACTCACACTCAGACATACACACACACACACACACACTCACACTCAGACACACACATACAGGGGGAAGTTGTGGCCTAATGGTTAGAGAGTCGGACTCATAACCCAAAGGTTGTGGGTTTGAGTCTCGTACCGGCAGAGATTGTAGGTGGGGGGAGTGAATGTACAGCACTCTCTCCCACCTTCAATACCACGACTGAGTGCCCTTGAGCAAGGCACCGAACCCCCAACTGCTCCCCGGGCGCCGCAGCATAAATGGCTGCCCACTGCTCCGGGTGTGTGTTCACGGTGTGTGTGTGTGTTCACTGCTGTGTGTGTGCACTTTGGATGGGTAAATGCAGAGCACTAATTCTGAGTATGGGTCACCATACTTGGCCACATGTCACGTCACACTTTTTTTTTTTTTATACACACACTCATACACACACACACACTCATACTCACACACACAGACACACTCGCTCAGACACACACATACACACACACTCATACTCACACACACACACACACACACACACACACACATTTTTACAAATGTTAAAAAATGATTAGTAAGTCTTAAGAAATATTTAAATAAATATTGATTGATTTTTTTGATCCTGTGATGTTTATTGTGTGTCAGCTGGCAGACGCGCTGCAGGAGGGGAACCAGGCGCGAGTGGAGCTGAGTTTGCAGCAGAAGCTGAGGGCTGATGTTCAGCTGCGGGTGGAGGAGCTGGAGGAGAGCGTGCTGGAGAAAGACCAGGAGCTGCTGCGCCTCACACAGATCGTCAGCAGACTGCAGGGAGAGGTCCGATTAATACACATTCATATCCGCAGGAAAATAATTCATCATCAAAGACCAGTAGAGACATTTATAATGTTACTATTTATTTATACTAATTTGTTATTTCTATTTCAAATAAATGCTGTTCTTTTTAACTTTCTATTAATCTGTGAGTCATGAAATATAAAATATATCAGTTTCCACACAAATATTGGGCAGCACAACTGATTTACACATTGATAATAATCAGAAATGTTTCTTGAGCAGCAGATCAGCATATTATACTGATTTCTGAAGATCATGTGACACTGAAGACTGGAGGAATGATGCTGAAAATACAGCTGCCCATCACAGAAATACATTAGTTTAACAGAGATTCATATAGAAAACAGCTGTTTTTAATAGTAAAAATATTTCACATTTGGTTAAAATTTACTAAAATAGCTAAAACCAAGTAAACTAAAACTTAATAAAAATATTATAAAATAATAATCTAAAATAAAAACTATATAGACATATAAAAATTACAAAACCAAACTAATTATAATTATAACGTCATGCATTTTATAATTATATTTTTTATAATTATAAAATACATTTTTAAATATTTTAAAAGACCAAAATTACAAGAATTACAAACTTTAATGATATTACTAGTACATTTTTGAAAAGCATTTAGCATTTTGTGAGGTTTATTGGCATTGACAGAAGGTGCAGTGCATTTCTGAAGCACGATAACAACAAATGAAAATAATACATAAATAATAAAATAATAATAAATAGAAAATGATGTAATAGAAAAATGAATAAAAAATGACAAAACCACAAAAAAATTTAATTACTAAAAATGTACATGTACAAAAGAAAAACAGTAATCTTCACAATGTGGAGTGTTTCTTTGTGTCAGATATTTCATCACGGTTCATCTAACCATGATGTACCACTGAGCTGCATCGTCCTGACTGTGTGTGTGTGTGTGTGTGTGTGTGTGTGTGTGTCAGGTGTCAGGTAAGCTGAGTGATAAGGAGCAGACGCTGGAGGAGGAGATCCAGCTGCGGGAGCGTGTGCAGCTGCAGTGCAAACAAGCCGAGAGGACGGTGGAGGATCTGCGCATGGAGCTGCAGACGCTGGGACAGTCCAGAGACGAGCTCTCCAAACAGCTCAAGCTGGCTCAGGTACGGCGCTGACGTCACACACACCTCCACAGACACACACACGAGCACCACTGACAGAAGCGCACGCATCTGTGTGTGTATCAGGAGAAGATCATCGATCTGGAGGGAGATCTGGAGGAGCTGCAGGAGAACGAGCAGCGATGGGCGTCCAAACACAAGAGAGCTGTGGATCAGGTCAGAAACCACCAAAAACCGCTTTAGACCGCTGGAACACGGTTCATGTTTAGTCTGAGGCTGACAGCAGGATCTGCGATAAAAGAAAAAACCTGGACAAAATTGCAGAATCCAGTCAGGAAAATGTAAAAGTTTACAGTACAATGTGTCAAAATAAAAGCTCAGTTTAACTATTATTAATATTACTTCTCAATGTAATAATAATACATTATTTTTTTAATTATCACATAATTTTTCTTACATGTTTTCATTTCAACAGTAAACCTCTATTGTTCCAAAAATAAAAAAAGAAAATTTTTTCATTTGATTACATTTTAAAAGATTGTTTTATGCCATTACTATTACTATTATTTCATACTACCATTTTTTATAAGTATTTATTAATTCATGAATCCAGAAAAACAGACAATACCAAAACTTAAAAAAAAAAAAAAAAAATTTAATAAAAAGAAATAATTTTTGTATTAATATTCTTGTTTACTATTATTGTAAATATTTAAATAAATTATTACATTAAGTTTTATTAATTTAATTGGTTAGGCTTTTTTCAGTTTTTTGATGATTAAAAATAAAAAAAACATTAAAATAAAGACTACAAAAATTAAAACAGAAAACATAGAATTTGGGGAAAAAATTTAATGCTTTTATAAGGCCCAAAATTTTTTATTTTTTGTTCAACTTTTTAAATTCATTATTTTTTTTCAATCGATTATTGAATTATTATAATTATTTTTTTTATTACTTTATTGTTTCAGTTTTAGTTATTTCAGTACATCAAGTTAAATGAAATTTTTTTTATTCAGTTAACATGGATTTTATTTCCCATAATGCAATAGTTTGTTGTTTGGTTTTAGTTGTAGTTCATGTGTTTCTCTGTCTCAGTCGGAGCAGCTGCAGATGAAGCTCATCCAGGAGAAAGATCTCAACGATCAGCTGGAGTGTGAGAAGGCCATCCTGGAGAGACAGGTGTGTGTGTGTGTGTGTGTGTGAGAGAGAGTGAGTGCGAGTGCGAGTGTGAGTGTGAGTGTGTTTGAGTGTGTGTGTGTTTGAGTGAGTGCGAGAGTGTGTGTTTGAGTGAGTGTGTGTTTGAGTGAGTGTGTGTGTGAGTGAGTGTGTCTGTGAGTGCGAGTGTGTGTGTTTGAGTACAGGTGTGTGTGTGTGTGTGTGTGTGAGAGAGAGTGAGTGCGAGTGCGAGTGTGAGTGTGAGTGTGTTTGAGTGTGTGTGTGTTTGAGTGAGTGCGAGAGTGTGTGTTTGAGTGAGTGTGTGTTTGAGTGAGTGTGTGTGTGAGTGAGTGTGTCTGTGAGTGCGAGTGTGTGTGTTTGAGTAAGTGTGAGTGCGAGTGTGTGTGTGTGTGTGTGTGTGTGTGTGTGTGTGTGTGTGTGTGTGTG